AGTAAACCGAAGGCCAAAGAATGGCCTGGCTGCTGGAGCTGAGAAGCGATCCTGAAGTGGTACCGTATGCCCTCCCTGGTTCTGGGAGAACAGCAGATTCCTTATGTAGTTGAGTTTTCAAGCCAGGGTGACCCCAGCCTGTCTCACTCACGGCCTGCTGTTCAAAGTCCCTAATGCACCCACCTGAGCGGTCCTCCCCATCCCCATGGTGACAAAGCAGGAGACCCCCTAGCTGCCTTCGGGTTGCATCCTGCCAGTTTCATGGTCAGGATGTTTCTTTCCTTGTTTATGGCCATCCGTCTTGAGCTAACCCCAGCAGGGATATCTCTAACAGGTTTCTCCTTTTGGGAGCATCTCTTCCATACTTTATTTTATTTTTTTAAGGTGATTTATAAATCTTTTAATAGTATTATTGATCCTGACATGAAAAGAGAAAAAAAAAATGCTGGGAATTGGCAATAAAATTGTTTGTGATACAGCCAAAGCTCTTTAGGTGGGCTCTTGCTATAAGTCAAACGAGCAAACAAAAACTCCCATTCCTTTCCTTTTTCTTCTTGTTTTTGTCAGAAAATAGGAAAAATGAGGTTAAGCAAGAATTTGTCTCAGTATGCAGAAGCGAAGTGAGATTTGCCAGTGTTGGGTGTCGCTGGGCAGCTGGGGGCCGATGACGGGTGTCTCTAACACAATGGCTGGACTGCTTACCCTCCAAAGTGAGGTTCATGAGTCACACCGCGGCGCTGTGTTGATGACTCGCCGGCTTCCCCAAGTTGTTTTCTCTGGGAAGTGGCACATTCATAGTGTCCCCTATTTTCCTACCCCAGGGACAAAACTCTGGTAAATAAACCGCTGCAGGAACCATGGCTGTTACAGTCCCCAAGTTGACTCATGCTGCTCCTCAGGTCTTCCATAATTTAGATGCTGGAACTGAAGTATTTTGTTCTGGCAGCGCTAGCAGACTGCAAATACAGGTAGAGTGGTCCCTAGGTGGTCTGAAGCAGAAGGTCTCCACTCAAGGTGCTCTCTGGTGAAGTCTGAGTCACAGGAAGCACCCCCGCCCCCACCCCCCGCTGCCAGGTCACTTAGGGTCCCAGGTTTTGAGAGCCAGTAGAGGACCGAGAGCTCCAGGAACTTGGAAGCCTCTCTCAAAGAGAGTTTTCTGGCTTTAACATCTTTCCCCACAGGTCTGAAATTATATCACTAGAAATTCATATGGGAGTCTGGAAGCTGCCTTTAGTCTTCAACAATTTCCTGATAAAACGGAAGTGTACCAGATCACCAGGATGCTGTGGAGGGCCTGAGAAGGTGGGACGTGGATTCTGGGGAAGGATTGCAGGGAAGCAGCTGTGAGAGGCCGGAAGGGTCAGAATGTCAGGTCCCCTCTCTTCCAGCTTTGCCCAGGGCCAGCTCCCAAGGGCTTGTGCCTGGCCTTACAGGAAGAGGGCTGGAGTTGTCATTCGTCCTTTTAGGGACCCCCTTCCCCAAATGTGAGGCTCTCTGGTGTGGGGCACAGGGTTACGGTGATTGCTTCATTGTTAGGTGGTTGAACATTTGACACCCTTCTTTTGACCTTTTCAGTTCTGCAACATTTTGATCAGAAACATTTGCTTTAGGGGTAAGGGATGTGGTGCAATTGGGGAAGGAAGTGTGGAAAACAAACAAAACAAAGCACCTTGGCCATAGTTCGGTAAAACAGAACACGTTTCTGCCCTCTACTCCCCTCTAATATGTTTAACTTTCTCCCTCCCATCCCTGCCTTGTTTATTTATTTGTTTGTTTTTGCTTACTACTGATCCTAGTGTAGTGTAGTTAATAACTTTGGTATTTTTATTTGTCATCATTTTGGCTTAAAAGTGAATATAAAGGAGACTTCAACAGAAGTCAAATAAGCTGAGTAGCTGGTAGAAATGCTTTTGCATTTGAAGTCAGATTAAATTTGTCCTCCAGTAAGATTTCTGCCACTGCCTACTCCCCTTCTCCTTCCTTCAACCTGGAATACCCCACCCCCAACGCTACAGCCTGTCCCCACGGCCTCAGGGTGCTGGCAGCTTCTAGAGATTGCTCTCCTCTCATGAGATTGTTGGAAACTGGAAAAAAAAAAAAAAAGTAAGATCCCAAAACAAATTTCTAAGCCTATAATTTCAGACCACTGGGACCTGAGGAAGGGGACCTTCTCAAAGTTACCAGTAGGCTAGTTTCTATCATCAATGAGAGTTCTGCAAGTGAAGGAAATTGAGGATGCTGAGACAAGGAAGAATCAGGATGGTTTTGTATGGGTGAATGGAAATAGACATAGCTTTGTAGTAAAATAAAAAATATGCATCACACTTTATTCTGGGTCAAATAGAATATTTGGATATTATAGGAAAAAATGGTCTAGGTAATTATCTTTATGCGATTTCATTAAAAAAAACCTTTCATTTTCTTTGAAAGGTAGTCAGTTTTTCTCTTTCTAGGCGTGGAGATGGAATAACCATTCATGGTTATATGGCCCCTAGATGGGGCGTGGTCACACGCAGCCTCAGCGTGTGGGTCACTGGTGGAGAGAAACAGCCATTAACAATGTGGGGAAAACATGTACCTTGACTCAATTTTATGTCATGCCTTGTGATGTTGCAGTTCGTTTAAAATAGCCTTAAAACTTTCCTCAAAGAATCTGAATGTATATCTGTGGAAGATAATTAAGAATGTGGGACAAACACAGAAATGCCACTTTTGAAAATAATCTTTTTAGAATCTATACCATACTCCTTTCAGTGTCTGGCCCAAATGACAAAGAGGAGCTTTGCACACACATTTACGTGGACTTCTCTATTGGCGGCCAACTTGTTGGAGAGGCGTCCTGAATTGGACACAGAGAAGAGAATTGCAAATGATACCATCACACGGGAATACACAGCCCAGCCTCTGTCTTTACGGGAATTCCAGCCAAGGAAAGCCCATTGCATATTTTTATTTAGATAATTTCCTAACACATCTTGAACACTATCATAAAGTCAATTAATACAGAGTACCTGGTATTTTCTCCAGAGAAACAAAGTTAGAGTTGAACTTTGAAACAAATATCATCTTATAAACACAAACACATAGCATTCAAATAAGAAAATGTATTTCCTAAATCTCAATAGCATGCATGTAAACATACTGTACATGTTGATTGTAGAAAAGCATGTAGATCTAAGGATAAACAGCTGTATCTGTCCAAAATTTTTTTTGCTAACTAGAATTTAACATTTTATTAAGAACAGAATTTGTTGTTCAGAAATTTAGAAAGTCCCTTCTGGATGCCTTGAATCTCTTCAAAAATAACTCCAAGCAATTTTCTGCACAAATGACTTTCCCTCCTGCTTAAAATATTCCCTGTAGCAAGAAACAGGATTTAAATCATTTCACTGACCTTAGCACTACCCTACAGGGATACTCAAAACACAGTTGTTGTTAGGAAGGTTGGTAGTGTCTACCAAAAGATTTCATTTTAATAGTATGTCACAAAAATAATAAATGCTCACAGTAAACAACTTAAAATGAACAAATAAGCTGAAGGAAGAAAAGTAATATTTCATAATTTTATATCTTAATGATAATCACTGCTTCCTAATGTCTGTTTCTATCTAACCATATAGCAACAAAATCATTCATCTGTGGGTATTCATAGCATCATTTAAAATGGGTGTGCATTATTTCAATATACCATACTTTATTTAACCAACCCCTATTTCTAGACATTTCATTTGCTTCCATTGGTTTTGCCATTATGCTTATGGCACTCATACCTGTGGCTTCATTGGATGTTTGCTTTGTTTACGTACAGGGTTACAGAGGGCTCTGTTGACACCAGGTGGGCATGGCCTACTTAGATGCCAACAAAGTCATCTGCCCTGGAAATCAGAGGAGAAGGGAAATCCTCCTAGCCCTTTGAGAAGTGCATCTTGTGGTCCAGTTTGCCTGGAAGGAGAGAAGCCCTGAGGATTGATGGTAAGGAGGTTTGGAAAGTCAAGTGGGTGGTACTCTTGGAGTGGACCCCAGGGCATGTCCCACATGTGTGCAGACCACAGAGCACCGAATGCAGAGGCAACTCTCAAGGGAAGGGGCACCTGCAGAACTGTCCTGTGGATGCCACTCAGCCTCCTTGCCAGCCACCCCAGTGCTTGCCCAGTGTTTTGCGGACAAGGAAGGGGTCAGGGCTGAAGGCTGTGCGTGTCTTCAACAACAAAATCCCCCTTACAATGGCTGACCTGGCCATTGGCCCCCCTGAATGCCAAATTTGCTAAGCAATGTCCAATCCTGAGCATTTCAGAGGGCACCATATGCCGAGTGGCAGGTAGAGATTAGCTGCCTGTTTGGACCCTTTTTGATTCAGCAGCACCAACTGCTAGGTCCTGTACTCCTTGTTGGAAACAACAGCAAGACTCAGTGAACGAGGAGCGTGGCTCTCTAGAAGGAGTTTTCTGTTGCTCTTATTGATTCTTCTCCAGAGGGGCATTCATAAGGCACTAGAGCACTGTGAAGAATCCATGGTGGTTCCAACATTGTTCTCTGGGTCTTTGCACTAAAGGAACTGGTGAAAACCCCTGGCTGGTAAGATGAAGAGAAGAGTGTTCACCATCACCTCCTGTGGGGCTCTAGACATTCCTGCCCAGGCCCACCTGTGTAGGGACAACCCTGTCTTGCTCTAGACCACAGGTGACTAATTGTAGAGCTGTCTCAGGCTAGGCCTATGTTCTTCCTCAAAGAACAGGCTAGAGGCAGAGAACCAGAAGGTTTCTATGGAAGGCTTTGCTTTATTCCAATAAGCCTGTGCGATGCCGGCCATCTTGCACAATATTGACTTATTCATCCAGGGATGGTTGCAGATTCTGTGGCTTAAATTTTTTTTAAAACATTGTGGTAAAATACATAGAACACAAAATTTATTATTTTAGCCATTTTTAAGTGCAGTCTGTGGCACTAAGTCTATGGCTTTTTACCTCTAACCTTGAGCCCATGTCTGTTCTCTCCCGAAGCTCTGATCTCTCTGGTGTAACGAGCGTGTGTCCTCCGTGGGATGATGCCACCAACTGTGAAACAAAGCGCTATACCCATAGCGACGTCTTATTAAAGAGGACATTCCTGGCACGTTTCCTCGGAGATGTCAGTTATAAGCCAGAGTCCTGTGTCAGCAGTGGAAAATCTGCATCGCAGAAGGGAAGAATCATGTGGCTTCTCTCTGTCCTGTGGCGACGGCAGGAGTGTTTAAAGTGTGTCCGAGGGGAGAGTCACCTTCGGCATGGTGTCCCTGAGGAGCGAACTGGAGACCTGGCTGCCTGGGCAGTGACAGGGGCGCCGAGAAGGCTCTGCTGCCTAATTTCACTGTCGTGTGTCGCGGTGGCGTCACATGCCGCATTTCCTTTCTGTGGGGTGTCTGCAGAAACTGGGGCGCACACAGACAACGGTATCAGAATTGAGGCGTGGGGGTTAGGCTGCATGAAATGAATTCCAATATTTTGAAACTAGAAAGATGGGTTCTTCCCATGAAGTGATATCTGCATTCAAAAGAAGAGCAAAGGTGACCTTGGGACCGGAGGGAAGAGGAGTCAGGCAAGGTCAGCGTGAGGCTGGGGGCGGGGAGAGCAGAGTGGAGGGCCAGCTCCGACTTGGGGACAGCCAGTTCCGTCTTGGGCACAGCGGAGAGACTGCGCTGGCTGAACACATAATCATTTCAGGACTTTTCATTTGTACTTAGACTTTGGCTTGTAGAGAACTATTTCCTTTTTCTTCCTCCCTGGGTTTCAGCCCTGAGTCTCCGCCCAGCTATCAGCAGGGAGAGAGTCCCCAAACAAGTGGCTGGTACTGGGGATAGATTTGTGTTAATTGTATCCAGACTGTTCTACCCAGTCTCTCTTGTGATTATGGGCAGGAAATTCCAAGACAGACGGTTCGCTTTCTCCACATGCTGTGTGACAATGGAAATGAGCAAAGGTCCCGGACCTATGGGAGGACTGAGAGGGGACGGTGGCCTTGTTAACCCTCGGCTCTACCTGACTGGGTTGGTGCTGGGTAAGGTAATTTGACGTGTCAGAGCAAACATGTGGCAAGACCACGCCTACAAAAACAACTTGATTTCCAAAATTCTGAAATATGAAAGATTTTTTTCTTTAAGTGGATAGAAGTCAGGGAAAACTTTATGTCTCTTAAACTAGCAGGAACACTTGGCGACTTTGCTGTCAGCTTAAGAGTGTGTTGATAAATTTAAACAGGACTCTTCCTGTTTTGGAGAACCTAAAAATCACCATGAAATGATTAGCAGAATATTTATAGAGAACTAATGCTTCGGGAGATGTCTGAAATAAAATATATGTTTGGGTTTGTGGAAAGTAAAATATTATGACAATCTCAGAAAAATTTTTATTGAAGACTAAGTACCCACAGTGAGAAAAGGCATGCATATTTATTGAGCATCTACTATCTGCTGAGAACTTTATATACATTTCTCACTTTAACCCCAGTGCAACCTTGGAGGTAGGTTCCATCCACGTTTCCCAGAAGAAGGTAAGCAGGCTCAGAGTGTTTCAGTAATCGCCAAGGTCTGACGCCCGCAACTAGTGGAACTGAGGTTTGACGCATCCCATCAAGCCAGTTACCCACTGCACTTTAGCCACACAACATAGATTCTAGACTCCTTCCACCTTGCGGCTCTACTGTAATCTCCTCCCCTCTTAAATTCCCCCAGCAGCCATTGCCTATAGAACCACATGTTGACTGACACATACTACTTTGCGATGGGTTTCTATTTTTTAACCCCTATTTGAAATTTTGTTATTTCATGTTTTACATGTCCGTATCTTTTCCCTTTAGTAAATTATAAGTCCTGAGAGGACATTGACCTTGACTGTTGTGTCTCCCAGGGCATTTTGTGAATAATCGATGCTCAGTTACTACCTATTGATTTGATTTTAATGAGTGTGAGGGAGATAATGTCTTTGACGTAGTTGACCGGCAATAAAAGTCATAGCCAAAATCATCTTAAGGCATTTAAGGTACTCTTCTTTGGGATTTCTGGCAATTCCCACACCCATGTTGTTAGAGATTGAGGGAGACTAATGAAGGAATAAATAATAATTTATTATTATTCAATAATAAATTAATGAAGGAATAAATAATAAAAAATTCTCAAAATTTTTAATTTTGAGAATAGCTCTATCATTAAGGATTTCAATAAAGCATTTTTCTTACTTTAAATCATTACTGTTAAAATCCCTTTAGATTCCCATCAGCTTTCCTGTTCTGTTTCTGTTTTGCTGTCAGTCGGATCAGAGTCCTCCTCTACTCGGGAAACGTCTCAACTACACGGACAACCTTATTGTTTATCCCTCTGATCCTTCCCTTTTCAAATATTTCAGAAGGCTAAGACTTAAAACTTTTCATGTAGAAATATCCACCAAGGTCAAAAGGGGCCAGGAAAATAAAAGCCAATCTCATTCAGAAGATTCTGTTTTCTCCTGGCCTTGGTGGCTATTTCCCGTTTGAGTCACTTCCCCTGAGAGGGCAACAGTGGCCGGTAGACCTGAGAGTCGGTGAGATTTGTCTCAATGAACAACAGAAGACAGAAACAAACTCAGTTCACGGTGGTCCACTTTGTGTTGGAAAGTCTGTGCAATTCACACCACTCTAATTGCCCTTCTCACGCCAATTGTAATCCTGGAGGAGGCTCTTGCTGGCACGAGGTCTGGAGTTTGTACTGCAGCAAAGCCAGAAGCTTGTTTTTCCATCTGGGCTAGCACAGTGTTTGCAAGCTTTTGTCTGAGTTACTCATTCCCTGGTAAATTCCAGTCTTGGGCTACTATGGGACATAAGCAAGGCTTTACCCCAAGAGTTGTGAATGTAATATGGCCCTTGTTTAAAAGTGTTTTGCTACTGGAAGGACAACTAGTTCTACTGAGGTTTGTGTTGGCCACCCAGATTTGTGGGTTCCGTTCAAAGTTTTGGTTTAGTTCTGCGAGGTTTATGGCTTGGCTACCTGAGCGGCTGGCCCTCACACGTTTCTTCCTCCCAGCTGGAAAGATGTGCTGGAGCACTTGGCTTAAGATTTCCAGATATTACTTTGGAATAGTCATGCTGATGGCTCAAGTGTTCTTGGAGGTTGCTCACATTTGGAAATTCCTTAGCAATAGTTCCTGCCATGGCTCCAGCTGTTGGCTTTTTCTGATAGGAGAGCTGTTTAAGTACTCTGCCTTGTTTGTGCACCAAGCTGATTTAATCAAACTTCTCCCGAAGTTTGGAGCCTTGATTAGCTTCCTGTTGCTGCTGCAGCATGTTCCACAAACTGTAAACAACATGAATTTATTTTCTTATAGTTCTAGAGGTCTGGAATCCAAAATGAAAATGAGTCTTAAGAGGCTAAAATCAAGGTGTCAGTGGGGCTGTTCTTTCTGGAGGCCACCTGGGAGAATCCACCTTTCCCTCTTGTGCTTGTAGAGGCCACCAGCAGTCCTTGGCTTCTGGTCGCATCACTCAAATCTCTGCTTTCATGGTCACGCTGCCTTCTCCTCTACCGCAGTCAAATGCCCTCTGCTCTCTCCTGTTATGATCCTGTGATTATATTTAAGGCCCAGTGAAATTAACCCAGGATAATCTCCCCATCTCAATAGCCTTAATCACATCTGCAAGGTTGCTTTTGTCATACAAGGTAACATTCACAAGTTTCAGGGTCAACGTTTTGTGGGTCCATTATTTAGCTCTACTACAGAGCCTGATGCATCTGAATTTGCATCCTGGTTCTAACAATGTCTTATGCTACCAAGTCTTAGATTTCTAACACCTACCTCTAAGAGCTTTAATGACGACTAAATATTATGTATTTACTCGTAGAGACCTCCTAGGCAATCAATGAATCAAGTTCATTTTCCGTCTATTCCTCTCCCTTACTTTGGCCCCACTAATGAACTCTATAAGTTTATTAATTTTCTTAGCTACTACATTATTATTATGAACCTGAAATAAATCCAGACTCTTCTTTTTTTGGTATGAATCTGTCTTTCCCATTCTATATTTACGTAACATGTTATATTTTCTGGCCCTAAGTTTAGGATTGAAAATTTGCCGTGTAAAATTTATTAAGTGCATAATAATGGTCCAGCTATTGTGCAAGATGGTGTGCATGGCAATGTGGTGGTTAGGGGCACCTGCCCTGAAACAGGCTTCGTGGGCTGAATACCGGCTGTGCCACTCACTAGCTCTCTGACCTTGAACAAGTTACCTAACCAGCCCTCTGTAAAGACAGAGTTATAATAGGATTGTATCTCCACTGTTTGTTATGAGAATCAAGGAATTTAATATTTCTGAAGCCCTTAACACATGTAGGAAACTCAATTGAGTAGTTGTTAATTACCTGAGTATTTAAATCTCTTGAGTGTTTGAATTGTTCAGCAAATTTATAATCCACTCAGGTTGACTTTGATCATCTTATCGAAAGGATATTATGAAAAACCCCAAATGCTTTGCAGAAACTAATTTACATGGTATCTGTACCATTTTTTGGATCATCAACTTAGCAGTTCTATCAATAAAAGTAGTGAAGTTAGTTTGAAATCACTTTATTCATAGTAAAATATTTGTTATTAATATTATCATATTATTATTAGAGAATTATTATTATATAATGCCCAATTTTTCACAAAATATGTTTAAGAATTTTCTCTAGACATTTGTCAGGGAATAGTATATATTTTATAGGTTCTAATTTTTTCCTTCAGTTATTCTATTTCTCTGTGACTTTTTAATTGATTGAGATATTTGGACAATTTATTGTTCCTTTAAAAATAGCTTCAAAATTGCATAGTTATACATATACATTGTAAGAAATACAGATAATTATAAAAAGCAAAGCAAAATTTTAAAAATCACCCAAATTTCTATCCAACATGAGCTACTGTTAATATTGGTGTTTTCCCTTCCTTTTTTCCTTTGTCCTTCCTTTATGGAAGAATGCTATACATACTATTTTATAGCTTGTTTTCACTTAACTACCAATTATTAACATTGTTTTTTATGTTATTAAATATTATTCCACAATATAATTTTGATACCTGCATACAGCTTTGTTGTATGAATATAACATAATTTAAGTAGCAATCCTCTATTTTGAAACACTTGTTTTTAGCTTTTTATTATTATAAATATTGCATTTTGAACATTTTTATAGGTATAATTTTATGTACAATCATTGTTTTATGAGAATATATAATTTGTGTATCCTAAGTCATGGAATAATTTAATATTCCATGACTTACTAAAATTCCAATAATTTTAATCTTTTAATGTGATTGCCAAACTCCACCCCCCTGGAAATATTACTGTTGCTTACACTCTTACTACTTGTCTGTTCTGCGTATTAATATTAAAAAAACACTTAACAAATTTGATAGGGACAATTTATCTAATTGTTTTCATTTGTATTTATTTGAGTAATAGTAAAGTTTAACTTTAAATAAGTATTTCTTGGCTCTTTTTATTTTTTCTTTTGTGAATTTTCCGTTTATTTTCTTTGCCTACCTTTTTATTACTGTGGTTATGTCCTCTCATTTATTTATAAGAGCACTTTATATTTTAGTGTTAATAACTCATTGCCCAATATGTTATGAATACTTTTTTTCCAGTTTGTCATTTGTTTTTAATAATGATTTTTTATATACATGCAATTTAAAATTGTGTGTAGCCAAATCCAGCTATGACTTAAAAAAACAAAATTGTCTTTGGTGTGAGGTCAGTTACAAATGATAAGAATAACTTGCCTCAATTGTCTTCCGGTAATTTTGTACAATTAAATAGTTAAACTGCCTAGTATTTGTTCGTGTGTATCATCCCAGCCAGGATCCTGCTTTATGGCTTTCTGTCCTGACCCTGTCACATTCACAGTGGTGACAGCAGGCATGCCAGAGACGTCTCAGAGCTGCACGCTGGACTAGAAATACCATTGTTTCCACTAGTGTGGCATTAACTGTGGACTCGTCAGTGAAGCCAGAGGAACATTGCGGTAGAATTTGTGCTTGGTCTGATCGCATCTTATTTTCCTCTACATTCTCATCATCATTGTCTTCTTTCAGTTGAGAAAACCACTTCCTTCCCTTTATGGTGGAGAATACACTTTAGTGAACTCAATGGGTGTTAGAAATTTAAATCTAATTTAAAAAGTGTAGCTGGGCCCACAGGGATTACTTTGTTATAGGAAGTCTTCAATATTTTTGTTATTTTAGCATAAAACCAACTGTAAGCTGCGAGTTCTGTCCATGAAGTGGGTCATTAGATAGAGATTGCCTTATCATTGAGCTGCAAAGCCCTCGCAATCCTTTTGTCTCTAAATAGGCAGCGCATAGGCACATATTCTAGCGAATATCGAAGTGAATCGGTAAGCAGTTGTGATGTGATGGAGCCCACCACTGATTCCCAGTGTACAGTTGTTCAGGGCAAGGGAACTGACACTTACTTGTTAGAAAGCAGGCACCCTACCCACGCGAGGAACTTCTGCTTTGTGCCGCAGCCTGGCAGCAGGTGGAGCTGCAGCGGGGATGGTGGCACAGCCCGTGGGGGTGGGGGGCAGTGGTTCCTGGCTAGAGTCATCAACTCTTCCTAGCAGCTACCTGGGAAGAAACGCTGACGTGGTGGACCCTTCCCCATCCACCTGCCGGGGACTGGCCACACATGAAGTGGCAGCCTCTGGACTTCTGCACTTGCTGTTCCCTTGGCCCAGCTGTCCCATGCTGCCAGGGGCCACGGGCCAAATCTATCTGGCCTCAATTCTGCATAGTGTGCCCAGGGACCAGTGCCTGGGGCTGGCAGGGAGGAGCTCCAAGATAATAAAGTCGAGAAACTTACAAAAACAAGCAAACAAACAAGCAGAAAAAGAAACCTGGCCCTGTACATACATTTACACCATTAAATCCAAAGTCTAAGTCTACTGAGGTTATGTATTAGCCTCCTGATTTTCAGAAGAAGAAACTGAAGCTAAGTGATTATTCAATTTTCCCAACGTCACATAGCTGGTCCAAGGTGGAGATTAAAATATACATCTGTCTAACTCCAAAACACTTAGGCCAGCAGTCCC